ATACAATTAATAGACATGAAAAAGATGAACAATACCTTAAAATCTCTTATCGTTGTATAAATGTGCGATAGTCTTGATAGAACAATACTACTTGAAATTCCAAATTTTTGTGATTGATATAGATGGAAAAATTAGTGCTTATATATATATATATATATATATATATCGAAATTAGGGTTCTGCGAGTCTGCGACTGTTTACGTTGTTCGTAGTTTTGTATATTGTTTAAATTTTTCAACTTAAAAAAATCTTTAAGTAAATAAAAATAAAACAAAAAAACCAAAGTTAAAATAAAAAAAAAGAACCAAATCGGTTTAAAGGAAATAAGAAATAGATAGATTCCTTCCAAGTTAATAAATTAGGTAGTTTGGGAATTAAAATTTATAATTAGCCGTTTTGGTAAATACTTTTGTCAAACTAGCTGTTTTGGTAAAAGATCCTAATATGTATATATGTACGGAGTATACAATACTCGTATTATGTTATCACCTATGGTAAATGTTGTTCGGTTTTGTAATGTTGATTGTTACATATATGAAGTATTCGTAAGATCAGATTTGACATTTTCTAGACAAATCTAGCTCAGTTATGTCTAGGGATGGCAACGGGTTGGATCTGGACCGGGTCCGGATGGACCCGGATCCAAATCCGTTTTTGTATATAGGATCCAGATCCGACCCGGATCCGTCAGGTCTAGAAAATGAAGACCCGGATCCGGATCCGTCGGGTCCAATGGATCCGGGTCCGGAAACGGGTCCAATATATTTTGCCTAATTTTTTTGCAATAAATGTAATATTCGAGTCAAAAAAATTTATTTCAAACTTACGTTGTTGGTTATTAAGTTCAACCCCAAATTAACCAACTTATACACTCATATTTTGAATTAAAATTATAAACAACAAAAAAAATACGATGTTACATATGAGCTAGTGAAAAAACAACGATGATGTATATAATATGAGCTTCCAAAATTCATCTCTTGAAAGGGTTAATCTTTATCATTACTAACATTATCAACATTTTTAATTTAGAAACAAACAATTTTAGTTTTTTTTAATAGGAAAAATGAAAAAACGGGTCCACGGATCTGGATCCGGATCTAGGGCCCAGACCCAGATCCGTTTTTGTCAACAGGACCCGGATCCGACCCAGATCTGTCGGGTCCAAAATTTGAAGACCCAGATCCGTGAAAAACGGATCTGGATCCACGGATCCGGATCGGGTCCAAATCCATTGCCATCCGTCTTTGATGGAAAAATTCACAATTCTTCCGGAATTATGTTTTGGCAAACTTCAAAGACATCATCTTAAGACAAAACTATACACACAATTCCATCAATTTCAAGAATATACACATACCATCTACATATCTATCTATGCCAACTATAATAAAAAAAAACGTCATGACAGAGTGGGGGTGATGTCATGAAAAATCCACACAAAAAAGGAGTGAAGTGAAATGGTAGTGGAAGTAGTGAGGTTATGATAAAATGTTTGAACAAGGTGTTTAAAAAAATGGGTAATAAGCTAAAAGGTTAAAAGGAAAAGGTAATAGAAATTAGAAAGGCTAAAGGTTGGGACCAAAACATCCATGTGTGTGTCTACCAAACCCAAATGTGTCGTCCGTCCTACTCCTTCTCCTTGAGCGGAGTCCCGGCCCCCCCTTTTTCCTTTTTATTTTTCTATTGCTCTTTCTTTGCCTTTGTGTTTCTTGCATGCCACAATTGCTACTTATTTCTATACTTCTTTTACCATTCTTACTACCCTATCTTTAGTAATCCCACGTGAGTTTTTTTTTCCTATATTTGTTAAGTATGTTAGAGAGAGACTTTTTTGTTTGTTTGGGAGCTTGTTTGTGAGATGAGCTAGCCACAAGCAATTTAATTGGATCGAGTCGCATCAAAGCTAGATTATGTTGATTAATTTTTGTCCTTCTCCAATAACACGTCTGAATAATGTTCCACCACTTCCACATAAACGACAAAAAAAAAAAAAAAAAAAAAAACTTATGACTATGCACTCTTCTTATTATCATATAGTTTTGGGATGAAATCTTATTTGGTTTTGTAAAGTGGATTTTGTCTTTTTTGATGACAGGTTCAGCTTATATCATTTGTAATAAGTAAAAATCATTCACTTGTCTATAAAGTTCTTCTTATTTGGATAATGATTGTTTAAAAAAAAATAATGATTTAGTGACATACAATAAATAAATATTATTTCTTGAAACTATGTTTTTCAAAAAAAAAAAAAAAGCAAGAAATTTAAAATAGAATAAAATTATCTTTTCATAATTATATTATTTCTAAAAAAAAATTCATTTAAAAAATATAATTGAAAAAAATATCTATGAAGTAAATATGGGAATTGAGAAATATTGTATTATATTCTCCATTTACAACCCTATAGTCACCCTAACCCCTAATTTAAATCTTGTTTATAGCAAATTTATAGTATTTGATTTTGAATGTTTGAGTCACATGATATTTTATGTATTGAACTTTAATTAAATTAGTCATTCTTCTACAGTTCTACTATATAAATCCATTTTAAAAATTTCTTAAAAAAAAAATTCACTTTGAAATTCTAATCTACAAGCATATATTCTTGTTAATTATACTACATTTGTTCTTTTTTGTTGACACATTTTAACTTGTATTCATAAACTCTACTTTAACTAGATTTTATGATTTATATTTATGATAAATTATAATTTATTTAAAATATGAACTCTTTACCGTTTTTAAACATTGATAATCAAAGATTTATTCATTAAACATGTTTGTTTACAATCGTGATAAAATAGGTATCAAATATATTAAAGAACAAATAATTGTATGTAGGAACCAAAACAATAGTAATAAGCAATCCCATAATTACTTTCGTAGTACTCCCTTCTTTTTTTTTTTTTTTTTTTTGGATGCATCAGTTTGACAGTCATATTTTTCGACTTTGACCATGAATATTTTTAATTGGCTATTAGTAAAAATTGTAACGAAATTATATAATGAAACTAAACATTACGATTAATCTAATTATATACTTCCTATGTTTCTTTTTAGCTAACTCGTTTCTTTAGTCACGTTTGTCAATGCACAAATTCAATCATTAATATCTTTAATTACCGATAAGCAAAAATTATAAAAAGTTGATATTTTGAAAATATACATTGTGACAAATCTAACAAAATTCCACTTGAGTATATTTTTCTTTACATATAAATCACAAAACATGGTCAAAGGAAGTTGTGTGAATAGTGCTAAAGTCAAAACGTGCCAACTAATAAACAAACAGAGGTAGAATTATATAATAACATATATTTATTTAATAGAGGTTAAAAAAATTAAATATGTGAATAGTGTAAAAGTCAAAATAATGCATTTAAAAAAAAAAGATTTGCATATTTTCAATAAAATTATTTAGGTAGTTAGGGCCTGCTGCAAAGCCCATAAAAATACCCAACAGATTAAACTCATTCTTTACACAAACCAGCCCACTTAACCCGACCCACTAAATTATTTTCCCAAATTTACATAAAAAAGTAGGCCCAATGGGCCGGCCCGGATGAATTGAAGAGGCCCAATACCCATGAATATTGTTGAATGTCCTTAAACGAAGGGCAAGGTAAAGTGAAGATAAGGGCATGGGAAAAGGGCCCACTTACAGATACTAAAGCTGAGATAGTTATTTTAGTAATGGATGTTTGGTGGATGGTACGTTGGTATTTAAAGTACCATGGAGACCACCTTGTGTTTTCCATTTCTAGGGCTGCCTCTTATTCATGGCCAACTATTTATTATGAAGCTACTAGGAAGCTTCCATTTTAAACCTCTAGATCTTCTCACATTTTTTAAAGTTCTCTTGGACATTTAATGAATATCAAAGCCTACACTTGTGGTGAGGGTATGCTCTTGCTCGATACGGAGTGATTTTAGTCGATTGAGTTTAGGATATAGCCAAACAAACACGTCCTCTTATATAATGCGGAGTTTTTTTTTTTTTTTTTTTTTGTTCGAAATTAACAGTCTTATTTTTTGATAGTGTGATTTGAACTGCATTTATGATAGTTAAATTGATAATGCAAAGGATTTTTCAATGTGTATCATTATTCATTACTAGTGACCACAAATTTGATTGGTCATAAAGTATTATTAAGATTGCGTATACACCATATAGCTGCTATAAATGAGATGCATCAGTCCACAAACCTGTAAACCACCTTCTTAATATGCAACTTCTTCAATTTAAAGCTTAGTGATCACCCTCAGTCTTCTGCCAATGGCTATTACTCTACACCAACGCAAGACTCCGTGTTGGTACAATGATGAAAATGAACATCGGCTTAGTCTAAACCCGGACTATATTGGAAGTCTAGCTCATTTTACACCCTTTAATTTGAACCAATGCAAACATTTACAAAGTACAAATACTGTAACAATATAAGCAATTATGTTGTATAGTAGTATACAGAGTATGAATGAAATGGACATATAATTCACAAGTTCACATCACAAAGATTAAATTTAAAACGAAACTTTAACATATGAATTATATTATATACGGAGTAGCTTATATAAATTACATGCTTTCTAATTTAATGAGTTCGTACTATGTTAAGGCATGATAAAACTTCACAATACAGTAATACAATCGGAAAGAATAGCTGAATAGAGAACATACAACCAAAGATCTTTCAAAACTCAAAAACACAATATTAACATCAAAATCTAGTGACAAATTTGCTATAGATCACGCCAACATTAATAACGAAAGTAGGCAAATAAATGCAAAATTAATTTCGCGATTTCAGTCTTTCCCCAACATATCCGCTGACAAAGACATGCCACATGTATTTTCATGTGAATCCGACATCACTTATGCTTAAACCCTCCATAAACCTCCAAATTAAAACATCAATCTCCCCAACTTTTTACTCTTTCTTTTCATGCATCAAATCATACATAATTGAATTAAGGAATCCCATGAAACACAAATATACTTAACCAAAATCAATCTAATCATTTCATAGAAAAATAAATAAATAAATGATACATGTACAACATTCGGACTCAATTGAACCCATCTACAATAAATAGGTAGCCTTAATCAATTACCTAACCAACATTATACCCACTCACGATCCACCCGATTACAATAAATGGGTAGCCTTAAACCCTTAACCAAACAAACATTATAACATTATACTCTGCTAGGTGTTAAAAATAAATCCGACCAACCTGACTCAAAAAATACCCAATTTAGATTTCAATTGGTATGAATATAAAAATTTAACATGATTTAACTTTGAAATAGACCTGACCGAGCATCCGAATTAACACCTCTAATCTCACCCGACTCACGAGCGTGTACCACCACCACAACCGTTACGTGAAAATAGGAGTCGTGAGCTGTCATTATCAAACTCAAACAGGTAACCTTGCTGCATAAGATTACCAATAACGGCAAACCCAGACGGCGAGATAACTTGCTGGATAGCAAGACACTTAACATCCTCCGCCACATCAATGAAGTAATTCCTCGGCGGCGGGTCAAACACCGAGTCACCAACGAGTTCGAAACTCATCCTAGGAAACCTCGTATGATAAACTCCAGACACATTGAAACAAAGATCAAATTGCTGAGTTAACTCACTGAGTTTAGGCAACTTCACTCGTTCCCCCATTACCGTTAGTATTTGACGGTACGCTGGCTCAGGAACGAACGTTAATGTCGTTCCTGAGTCAATGACCGTACCGCCGTCACCGAACTCGTCAAGGGCCCACACCGAGGGGCTAATTGGTAATTTCACACTGTCGATCGTTACGGATTGGATACCAATGTAGTAGAACGTGGGCGAGAGTGTGTTTTGTACAAGTGGGGTCGATTGAACCGTATTGTGATCGGTGGGGACGACGTCGTGTCCGCCACCGATCACGAGGTAGCTAGTTGGAGGGGGAGAGTATGTGTAGTCTTGTAAGCAGTAAGAGAATTTGTTCCCGAAACGTCTGCCTAATTGGGCCGTGAATGAGATGGGCCCACGGCCCAAGCCCATTACCCCACTCGCACCTTCGAAGCCTGTATTGGAGACTGCCGGACCTGAGGTTTGGAACCCGCACCCGAAGCTGAGGTTCGGGACGTGGATTGTTTTGCTGGAGGTGGAGTTAAACGACGTCGTTTCTTTGGAAAAGATGCCCGAGGTGGTTGACCCGTCAATGTAAGAGTAGTCGTACAAACAAGATGAATGGTGTGGATGGTGAGGGCGAGGGCAGTGGGTTGACGAGTGAGGGACGAGCTGACATGATGGGTGGTAGCAGTGAGTGGGGCGGAAGGAGAGGGAGAGGCGAGGGAAGAAAGCAGAGTTAGGAGGGTGGTTGGCGGTGCAGTTGGTGGTGCGGCAAGCGGAGCATTTGAGCCAAGTGAGGTCGCTGCCGGTGTCGGCGACTAGGAGGAGGTTTTGAGGGGGGGTTCCGATGGAGATTCCGGCAAAGTATTGACCTGAACCGATTGAGGCACCGGAGATGAGGGGGGTTTTGAGGGGATGACGGTGGTTTTTGTGGTGGTGGTGGTGGTGACGGTGGTGGAGGGAGTGAATGCGGTGGGTGTCGAAGAGGAGGATGTCGGGAGGGGTTTTAAAGGGTTTAATGTGGATGAGTTGGAGTTTGACGTAATCATGTTGGGTGATAGTAGCGTTTGAGGTAGCGGTGACGATGGTGGTGTGGAGTAGGATGAGGACGAGGATGAATGTAGGAAAAGGGTGCATGTTTTAGTGTGTAATGATGAGAAAGATGGGAAGGGAAGTGTTTGAATGGGAGATGATGGGAAAGGGGGAATGGAATACTTGTAAGAACATTGAACAAAGGTGTGTTGGGGGGGGGGGGGGTCGGTGGTTGGTGACAATTTGCCAAAATAATCCAAAGAATTTCTTGGGTTTAATCAGAGGATGAATTTTGGAGTATTCGTTTTAATTTTTAGTTTAATTCTTGGAAATTGGAATGAATTAAACTACTGAGATCTTTGTAGATTGGTACAAGTAGAATTTATTTTACATTCATCTAATTACAAGGAAATAGACACTACGATTATTATATTTATTCTGTCAAAAAATATCAAGCATGGTTAATTTCTTAGTAGGAATAAATGACTTGATTAGTACCTCATAGTTTAGATGAAAGAGATTTGCGATAATCCAATGTTTAAAAAAACAAATAAACAAACAAGTTTAAAGTTTTTTTTTCAATTAAAAAATTTACTCCTTTTATTTCATTTTGATTCGCTTATTTAAAAAAGTTTTCTATTTAATAGTGACTATCAATACACCATTGCTTGTAAGCGAAATCTTAATTTTCGCAATTTTGTATTCCCTCCGTCCTTTAATACAATGCGTCTTTCTCTTTATTGTGTGAGGAATAAATTTTCAAAAGAGATATTGTATTAAGAGACGGAAGGAATATTTGTCAAATGGTCTACCACTCTACTCCATAAATAGTTTTTTTGTTTTTTTGAACGGCTACTCCATAAATAGTTAAGAGTTGAGTTCAATCTCATTTATATTATTTACTAGATGAAACCCGTGCGATACACGGTTTGTTTGAATTTTTAAAAATAATTTTTTTTATACATATATTTATGTGCTAAAATTTGTTATATATTTAGATAAAATTCCTAATATCAAAAGATAATATTTTATATTTAATTAATTTAAATTGGAAAATCTCATTCGCCAATTTTGCTTATGTGACATTTGAATTATTTAATTATAAAAGATTTTAATAATCTCCTATTTAATTGGTTACTACTAAAATTTATAATCCTCCATGGTACACTAACAAAATTAGATCTTATGTGGCTCTCTAAAAACTCGGGAAAAAACTCCCCTTTATATATATATATATATATATATATATATATATATATATATATATATATTAGATTGTTTATTAACTTTGTCTTTTTTTAACAAAAAAAAGTCTTACATAAAAGGTATCCTCATTCAATTTGTAATCTCATAAACCTAAGTATCTTTTGATGAAAAGCTGTAAAACTATATATAACAAAACAACATAAATACTTATGTAACACATTAGCATTAGCACTACATGACTTGGTAATAATTGTACTCTGCTACTCGTCCAAAAAAAAAAAAAAAAAAAAAAGGTCCTCTACTACATAGCTTATGTACTGGTAGCTTAACCTACTACAGAGTACTAATCTCTTTTGTTTAGGCCAGCAGCTAAAAAAAAAAGTCCTCGCTTTCTCTTACAAAGTATAATGCTGCATAATGACAATTCAATTACACAATACAAGTCACATTAGGATTCCCCTTGTGAGGAGAGTTTTCTAATGTTTTTTTTTTCTTACCTTTGGAAAAAAAATAATAATACACAATACAATGTACACAGGTAGTTTATTTCAAAAAAAAAATGTACATAGGTAGTAATTATACCATGTTTATACACCAAACTAAACTCAAAAAACTGGAAAACTCCCTAAGGCAGTACAATGAGCTCGGCTTTTGGAGGCATAACCGCATAATCATCTTCATATGCTTAGATAAGTTAGCTATTTAATTTGAGTTGAACAGTCACACGAGGCTTACAAAAGGGAGATAACAGATTGTCAGATAATTAAACTTAACTACATCTTCAGACCCCTTGAAGCCTTCGAGTTCCTGCACATTTACGAAACTGTGAAGACAATCTGAATAAGCCATTTGCGTCGCTCCTAGGCGCGACGCAAATAAGAGTCATTTGCTTCGCTCCTTTATAAAGGAGCGACGCAAATGACTCTTTTGATAAGTTTGTTTTTTGTTATTTGCGTCACTCCTTTATAAAGGAGCGACGCAAATGACTCTTCTGATAAACTTCTTTTTTGTTATTTGCGTCACTCCTTTATAAAAGAGCGACGCAAATGACTCTTCTGATAAACTTCTTATTTGTTATTTGCGTCACTTGTTTATATAGGAGTGACGCAAATGACTGAGTAGACAATACAAAATTGTTGTATTTGCGTCACTTGTTTGTTTAATGAGTGACGCAAATGAGGTGAATTTTTTTTTTTAATTATAATAATTGCCTTGTATATGTTTGTAGTACCTGTTTTCCTTACTAGTGGTATAAAGTAATATGCTAACGCTAATATAATTGAAATTAAAATGCAATATTATTGAATAATGCAAATGTAAATTTCGGCAGAGTCTCCTTTGTAATTTGGCCTACCCATAAAATTGGGAATGACGGCATTATATTAACAACCTGTCCAATAATTTACATCTCAATATCATAGACATTATACTCATCATCCCAACACCAATTAACTAAATTCATTCATTTCAAGCCTATAATCCAAAACAAGAGTCCAACATGCGCTAAGTGTAAATCTAAAGTTCAACATTACATATAAAATACTCTGCCCAAATATCTCGAATCTCATTTATCTCCTCCTCGGTGTACGGTGTAGTTCTTGAAAAATCCTATCAACACAACAAATATATAAGAGGAAAGTTTTAATTCAAGATTGTAGCTAACATCAAATTGTATTTATCAAACAAAAATGAAATATTTGACAACTCATACCTGAATAAGATCCTCACTGCTATGGTGATGTTCAAGTATTTCGTACATATAACGCATGACGTAGTAGCCACACTCACGTCCACCCAATTGTTGAGGACACTACATGTAATATATTTATAAGTTGAATTAAATTGCTATACTTAAATTATTAAGAAACTAAAAGTTAGGGTAAGAAATTAAGGTAACTTGTCCCAAATGCCATGTCAATTTACTTCCCCTAGATTGTCCACTTAATGCTTTAAAACTTCGAAAAGCACTACACATTTGAAACAAATAACATATATATTACCCTTACACACATAAAATCATGACATTAATAACAAACTAGACTTACTTTGTCATTGCAAACTTAATTGCTAAATTTCGCTTCTGCCTCAAAGAATCAAAGATGATGACTTCACGCTTAGCCATGCATAAGACCAAAAGAACCCAATGATTCCTACGTAATAAATTAGACACACATTTGTAAAAGAGTAAAATAATATCAACAATTTGAAAAGTTCAAATAAATACAAGTTCAAAGTTTATACTTTTCATGGTATGGGCATAAGATGAACTGCTTAGATTTTTGTTTTTCCATCACATGTGTCATATATAGTAGGATACGATCAGCATCACTATGCAAATAGGTTTCTGAAATCATTTCCAGACACATGAATCCAATGGAAGCCACTTCCTCCGTATCGAGTAAGTCACTCAAGGCCCTACATATATATCATGTAATAACATTATAAATGGTAATAAATAAGTATATATGGGAAGAGTGAAATTTGAATATCTTACATCATAAAAACTTGCAAAACTGAAATATTCAGCCAAGCTCCTGTGAGAAGTTGATTGACATCTTCACGTTTGATAATGATGTCCTTACTGTCTTCATAACTAAAGGTCCAAGCATCAGCCTTTACCTTAATAGTTTCACCTTCGGGTAATGAAGATAACAAACTATTCAAAGACCCACACTACTGAGACAAGTTTTCCAAAGCATAATCCATAAGGAAAACTTTTTTTGGATTGGTGTTGGACTCTTTTGTTTCGTGACCACTTTCAACTACTTTCAGTTTGTCTTGCATGTTTTCTTTGGCCGCTTTGTTGTTACCATTGTTCTTATTTGATATGAATTCCTAATCAATAGTAAAGCAAATCTATTCAACAATTTGCTATATTTTGTATGTCAAACTATATGTAAATTGTTACAAAAATAATTTACCTTGTCATGCATGAGTGAAACCAAGTCTTTCGGCCATTGGGTAAATGTACCGTGAGCATGCTTAAGTTTCTTGATGACTGAAGAAGGAACTGGAACCAAGAATTCTTTGAACTCGTCAAAAAAATCATCAACACTCACCCTCACGTGATCCGGAAGGAGGTTACTATGATGATCAAGGATTAACTCCGGATGATATGTACCTTCAGCGACAATGACTTTCTCAGAGTCATTTTTCAACAATGATAGCCGACAAGGATCCGGTTCCTTACAAAGATAGAAAAAAATCATAATTAAAAAATATAGAAAAACTGAGTTACAAAGTTAAAAGTATGTCGCCGTCATAAATCATTAAAAAAAAAGATAAAAAATATAAAATAACAAAGTTTTGGATACCTGTATGTTTGCAAATGGATCATCACCCACTGATTGGAAACTACTAGGATTTTGTTGAGTCGTCCGACCTATGTTATTCATTTCCATCAATTCAGTTGGAATTTGAATACCAATCTGTTTAGCAAATAACATAAACTTCTCTTGAACCATGGAATCCATTTTAGAATCCATCTCCTGCATAGTCTCCTCTCGTACCCTCCGGGCTACTCTTGCCTCTAATTCTTCCAGCTCATCATCTCCGAATTCCCTACCCCGTCGGCCACTACGCCTCTCTCCGGATCCCCATGCAGCTTTAATGCCAATTCCATTGCCAAATGCTATTGCTCGACCATTACGATCTTTTTTCCCAAGGGCAAGAGATAAGATATCATCATGCCTATTAGGAACAAATTTTCCTTCAGCTTGTTGGTTTCTCCAATTATCCTACACAATGACTTCAAGTTAGAAAACTTTGGTTGCAATACATAAATTTAACAAAATATATTCAAAATTGAAATAAAGACTTATTTCATACTTACAATGGATTCTTTCACCTCTCTTGTTTTCTCATCCGGCAAATAAGGATTTCCCTTATCATCTTCTATTGATCTTGCTAGAAGCCAAGCATATGTCCTATCCGGCAAACTAGACACAACCGAAGAACAAGATGAAGTACTGGATGCTGAAGATGCCGTGGGAATATACCCTTTTCTACGCCATACAATATTCATTTCACCATATGATTTGGCTCCTAAATGGTGAGGGTATTCGTTGAAAGACTGGCTTTGTCTTGCCTTCTCACTGATTTCCTATTTTCACGAGCATAAATGAAGATTAGTACATAAGAATCCGTTAACAAAGTATTAATAACCCGCATGATCATTGATATTAATACACACAAACCTTAAAATCATCTGTACTATGCTCCTCCACAAATGTTTTCCACATATCCTCAGATATGAAATCATAGAGTACATACGTCATTCTTTTCTCCTTCGGCATATTCCTGGTACATGTGATCCAACTGACCAATTTTGTTTTAAAATCTCTCCAAGTTTTATCACAAGTGCGTAGGACCTTTTTTTTCTTGTCTTCATCTTCTTCGATTTAAAACTCTCTCTACAAAAAAAATAAAAAAAATAAAAAAAGTTTGTAAATAATTTCATCATATTCAAATAAATTGTTTTCATCATATTCAAATAATGTCAAAATGATCATATAATAGTATAACATTTAACATATAATAGTGAATATTACCTTAACATCTTCCCACAAAGTGTCTTTTATTCCTTGTGGAACTTGATTCCAATCTTTATACAATATAGACACCTTTGCACGGCTTATTTCACCAACATGAATTTTGTATGCTTTTGCCCACTTTCCAATGGGTCGACACAATTCATCCCATTCAAGAACTCTAGGAACCCCAAGCATGGATTTCAGGCCCTTTGAAGGACCTCTTGGCTTCTTTTTCTTCTTCTGAGAGTCGGTTGTTTGTTGCTCTGATTGTGATTGATTGTGTGGCTCATCTTCCTCACCTTGCAAAGACATGGAACGATTATGCATATCCTCATCCTCCATTATTACTTACCTGAAAAAAAAGACATAAATAAATTAAGACATCGATTTGTATCATTTTTAAATTATAAACTTGTACAAATAACAATAATAAGCAATTTATGCAATTACTAACACATATTGGAAAAAAAATCACAAAATTCATACCTACTTCATTCTTCTCTTTTGCGACATAAAATCCTTCATTATGATCTTTTCGTTTCAACGTTGTGTCAAAATCATCGACTATTGGAGGGATGCTCCAAACGGAAGGTGGTGACTCATTAAATTTCTCATCATATTCTTCCTCGTCCACCACATCTTCAATGCCAAGTATCCTTCTTTTACCTTCTAAAACAACTGACCACTTACAATCAGCTGGGTCAGCCATGTAAAAAACTTGTTTTTGCTTGTGAAGCTAATATAAATGGATCAGCTAGATGCCCTCGTCGACAAAGATTTACAAGGGTCAAGTTCCCTTGTTCATCTTTTTTTACACCACGGCTACTATCAGCCCACTTAAATCGAAATAGAGGAATCTTGAAATCAACATAATCCAGCTCTATTATTTCTTCGATGATTCCATAATAAAATTTCTTCTTATCCACAAGTGTTTTATCATGTGCACTAACATACTCAGATGACAAACCTACTACTTTAACACCACTGTGTTGCATTGTTGACTTGTCATCTTGTCGGCTAGTGTAAAAAGAATACCCATTGATGTCGTATCCCTCATATGACATGACTTGACATTTAGCACCATATGCCAACCATCTCAATGTGTCAGATATATCGTTAGGTGTGGTGGATAGTTGGGACATCACTCGTTCCTTGAACCATGTAAGGAATGAACAATTATGCTCCTTTATCAGCTGAAGATCACTTTTGGAAGGATATTTATTTTTAAGAAAAAGCATGTTCTCATCCAAGTAAGGATGAACCTCACTAAGATTTTGCAACACAAAAATCTCGGCCTTAATTTTTCATTTCAAAGCCCATGGATATCCTTTTCCTGCCAATAGTACCTTGAACTCCAAGCCTCCCATCGTGTCGAGACTTTGGAAACCCAATTTTCTGTGAACGTGCAAGATATTGAGCAACCCATGCTGCCACTTCCTCAGCAACTATTCGTTGTACAATACTAGCTTCAGGTTTGGCCGGATTCATGACTTTTCCCTTTAAGTCACCCATTTCTCGTTCAAAAGGATACGTGTATCTCATACACACTGGTCCACAAAGTTTAATTTCACGTACAAGATGAATAACCAAATGAGGCATCACGTCAAAAAAAGATGGGGGAAAATACATTTCAAATCGACACATTGTCTCAAGTACATCTGCTTGCAAGTCATCTAAAATACTTGGATTTATGACCTTGCTACAGATAGTGTTAAAAAAGACACATAATCTTGTAATCGTATACCTCACTTGAGGTGGCAAAATTCCTCGAATGGCAACTGGTAATAATTGTTGCATCAAGACATGACAATCATGAGATTTCATGCCACCCAATTTCAAGTCAGACATTGACACAAGTCTACGAAAATTAGAAGAAAATCCAGCCGGGACCTTTAAACCATGCAATGACTCACAGAAGCTAGTTTTTTCCTTTTTAGACAAGGTAAAGCAAGCTGGGGGAAGATACCAGCGTTTTCCTCGAGATTCGGTGCCAACTCTGAATAACCCATAGCAGCCATGTCTTTTCTTACTTTAACTCCATCCTTTGTCTTTCCTGGCATATTTAATAAAGTTCCCACAATGGCATCACAGACATTTTTCTCAATATGCATTACATCTAGACAATGCCTAACTTCCAAATGTCTCCAATATGGAAGAGACCATAGCTCAGACTTCTTCTTGTAACCCCCAGTTGATTTGCTTTTGTAAGGCTTACCAAACTCATTCTCAATGTCTTTGACCCGCTGATAAACCTCACTTGCACGTAAAGGGCCACGAGCTTCTCTCAACTCCACTTTTCCATTAAAAGCATCCTTATTGAATCGAAAAGGGTGGTCTTCTCGAAGATGTCTTCGATTATCCATGTATACATGCTTGCCACAATTGTCTAGGCGCAATGCCTCCAAATCATCTTCACAAATGGGGCAAGGAGTTGTTCCCTTCACAGTGTACCCCGACAAATTCCCATAAGATGGGAAGTCATTTATTGTACAAAAAATCATGGCACGTAAAGTGAAATTAGTTTTACTATATGCATAAAACATTTGGACACCTTCATTCCACAACAATTTCAAATCTTCAATGAGAGGCGCTAGATACACATCAATGTCATTTCTAGGTTGTTTAGTCCCAGATATTAGAAGGGACAACATAATGTATCTAGACTTCATGCATAACCAAGGAGGCAAATTGTAGATAGTTAGAAGAACCGACCAAGTGCTATATTGGGTACTTAGTGTCCCAAATGGGTTCATTCCATCTGTACTAAGACCAAGCCTAAGATTTTGATCTTCTTCACCAAAGTCCTTGAACTTTCGATCAATGTTCCTCCATTGCGGGGAATCAGCAAGATGCCTCATTAACCCATCTTTCTTCCTCCCATCAGCATGCCACCTCAATAATTTTGCAGTTTTTTCATCCGAGAAGAGTCTCCTAAATCTCGGTATAATTGGAAGATACCATAATAACTTAGCCGAAGACCCTTTCTTACACATCTCACCAGTATCATTCATCTTGTAACGAGAAACTCCACACCTTGGACTCTCATGCAAATCAGCATACTCATTTCGATACAACACACAGTCATTGGGACAAGCATGTATCTTCTCATACTCCATACCCAAGGGGCACATAAGTTTCTTGGCCTCATAGGTGGAGTTTGGAAGTTCATTCCCGTCGGGAAACATTTCTACTAAGGCTTCTAACAACTGCGTAAAACCCTTGTCGGTCCAACAATTGCTCGCCTTTAAGTTGAATAACTTCATAATAGCACCAAGTTTAGTGAACTTTGTACAATCAGGATATAACGGGGTTTCAGCAGCTCTCAAAATACTATCATATGTATGGGGACACTCTGTGAAATGGTCTTCAACATCATGCATCATTTCATCTATCCTGTCCTTCTCCACTTCACTCTCACTTTCAACACCAATATCATCAGTTGTATCGATATCCTCACCTTGGTGTTCATTATCATCATCACAATGATTCTCATCTTCCCTTGGACAATAACTAGAACTTGCCTCAATATATATGCTCTCACCATGCCATGTCCACCTCGTGTAGTTTTCTTTAAACCCACGACGAATTAGATGATCTTTAATATCAACTATATCACGATATCCCCTCGAATTATTACAGTCACAACAAGGACAAAGAATAATCTTTGATTTATTCTCTGTTTTGTGTTTTAAGGCAACAGTGCTAAACTCTTCAATTCCTCGTAAAAAACTTGTACAATTTCGTTTACCATACATCCAACTTCGATCCATTTTCAACCATTGAATAACAAAATTAATTTTAAGATAATGTGTATATTTTGTAACATATATAGCTCCTTAACCATAAACAATAATATAAGGCATCAAACATTTTCATTCAAAGTTTATATCATGTAAATGCAACTCCGGATGATCCAATAAGGTCCTTATCACTCCAACCTAACTCATTCTTGAATGTCCTATCTCACTAATAACTACTTGTAAAGTTTGGTTCTAAAGAAAATTCGGCAACATTTCCCTATAGTTCTCCAAGCACACAATGTAGATAATCGGCTATCAACATATGTACCCAGAAAACAATCGGAAAATAGTGAGCCATGATCTTCTTAGACCCAAAACAATTCAAGTAGTTATCACCTAAATGAGATAGAACATTCAAGAACAGTCCCAAACCGGGGACTATTCAAGACTTACTCCTAATGAGTAAGCCCTGAACGGGTATCTAAGCCAATTATGCAAGTATTATTGCAATTCCAATCAATTATATCACAATTAAAAATCTCATACAATTCACAATCATTATACCAACCAGAACAAATAAGTTAATATTGCAAAGAATGGTTCAGATATATATACCACAAGTGAAGACAATCTCGTATGCGTACTACCGCCTTAATCGTTTGTCCACAACAAGAACCTCGAGCAACTTGTGGAATTCACTTCCGCATAATTAAGAATCTGCCATAAAAAATTACATATATTAAACCAACATAGTTGATTCAACTTAATCTGCCATGTGACATAAAAGTTGTGTCATAGATTTTACATGTATTTTGTAATTTATTTAGCAGCATTTTTACAGCAAATTAAAGATAAGACAGTTGAAAAACAAGGGTCAATGTTACTGAATTTAATGGCCAGGATGAAGATCGACAGCACGTGGCTTATTTATTTTTGCAAAACCGCTCACATAGTCATACTATGCACTCGATTTCAGTTATATATTTGAAATCAGTAATATATTGTAAACCAGCAGCTCAAAAATTGGCAGCTCAAAGATGCAACCGGTTATATATTCAACTAAAATCTGCCATATATATTTTCTAATTAATGAACTAACACTAAATTTGAAATTAAACTAAGTCATTGTTCAAGTTAAATGCTACATTCTATCTACCATGAAAAGAATGAACATAAATAGAAGCAATCTTACCTTAGGTGAAATTGACTTCACAAATTCAACAATGTCAAGCCGAAATCCCCCCTCGAATTATTGTTGCTGTAATTTCTTGACTGAAATTCGAACAATTTCTATTTATGACTGAAATGGGGGATTTCGAACCCTTAAACCCAGAAAAAGACGTAATTCAAACAATTATTGTTGCTGTAATTTCTTGACTGAAACTATTGTTGCTGTAATTTCTTGACTGAAATTCGAACTAAAATTATTTATGACTGAAATGGGACGAATTTCTTAGGGTATATTGCCTCGCTGCCAAAAACCCTAGAAATCCCCCCTCGGAATCCCCCAATTGAACTTGAAGACCGAAATTGAATTTTTTGGGGTTTCTAGGGTTCGAATTCGTATGATTTTGAGTTGATTTTTTGCTCGAAATTGGGGATTTTTGGTCGGAAACAATCAATTTTTCTGGGTTTAAGGGTTCGAATTTCTTAGGGTTTTTGGTCTAAATTTTTGCTCAAAATTGCTCAGATTTGCTTCAACTTGACTGCAATTTTAATTTAGATGTTAAATTTGCTGGGGAATCGCAGTTTTTTGGCCTAATTTGTTGGATTTCAGAGACGAATTTGTGGGTGTTTTGCTGTAGAAATTCACTGGAAGAACTCTTGTTTTTTTTCTTTTTGTTTAGTGAATGTAGGCGTATGTGATGAAAAACTAAGGTAAAAAACGCAGAATAACCTAAAGCCAAAAGAGTTATTTGCGTCACTTTATTATAAAAATGAGACGCAAATAACCTTGTTTATGATATTGTACACAGCTCATATGCGTCGCTCATTTAGTAAAAGCGTGACGCAATTTACTTAATCACTTATTTGCGTCTCTTGTTAACAAATGAGTGACGCAAATAAGTTTATTAATTGCGTCGCTTTAATAAATAAGAGCGATGCAAATGAGAGAAAGCTGAAATGCACTTGAGTTTTGCGTCGCTTCTTGAATAACATGCGACGCAAATAACTTAAAAGGATGGTAAAAATAAACATTTTCTTTGCTCCTTAGAATGAGTGACGCAAATATGGCGACGCAAATGTACATTTTTCTACTAGTGATACCAGCTGCAATTCTGAAGAGTGTTATTCAAGTCACAACAAGTCTACAGCTCGAGGTGGTTATAACAAACCTGCCAAGTCAGCATAGGTGGTTATAACAAATTCCCAGCACAGCAGACTGAGATCATTCTCTAGATTCTTCTGAAGATATTTTCTACTCTTCTCTTGTAATAAGATTCTAGTATAAATAGTTGTATTAAGATCTTCTATGCTAGCATAGTACACGGAAGCAAAGCCATGTTGACCAAAAATATTTAAATGGGGGTTGTAATGAGAGAGAAACCTAGTGAGAGAGAGTCCCCTTCCCCCTCCAAACAACAACCTCCTACTTCCCAAAATCCACCCCTGAATCACCTCTCCACCCCAGCTCCCTCCCCCTCTTGAAATGGCCTTTCATCACACCTTACTCCACATCAATCCCCTGCTCCCTCTTTCCGTGACGCTGTCCGGAATAAGAAACCAGCTCTCCTTGCTTGCTCTCAAGCAGCATCCTGCCCCCCGGATTCCTTCAATGCTGAATCAGAAATATTTCTCCCCTTAGAAGAGGATGAATGTTCGACTCTTTATGATGATTGGTTAACTTCAATCATATCCAAACCTTGTGGAAAGTCGTTCTCCACGGAATTCTATTCTCAAAACCTCTCCAAAATATGGAAACCAAAATCCACCATAACCTCCTACCCAATTGGTAAGGGGTTTTTCATTACGAAGTTTCAGCTCCAAGAGGACATGGACAAGGTACTATCTAGGGGTCCTTGGTTCATTAATGGGACCTTCATCTCAGTAGAGAAGTGGAAGCCCGGGTTCAAACCTTCAAATGATAACTCAAACAGAGTAGCTATGTGGGTTGAGCTTCCTGAATTACATGCGGAATTCAACAACCAGGCTATGCTCACAAAAATTGGGAATTCTATTGGTTCGTTTGTAAAGGGAGATAATTCCAGAGGAATTAATTGCTTAAGAATGGCAAGAATTCTTGTTCTGCTAAATGAAGATAAGCCCAAGATAAGTCACATTTGGATCGGCAAACTGAAGCAAGAGTTAGTCTATAAGGAGTCTCTGCCAAGACCGCAAAAACCTCAAGTTCCCCGATCGGAAACCTCAACATCCACCCACACACCTGCGATGTCCACCCCTCCGAGCTCCGGCAAGGCTGCAACTTCGAACCTCAACTCTCCATCACAAACAGAGTGGCAAATAATTTCAAGGAAAAAAAATGCCACTTCGACTTTACCTGTTGGATCTCCAGGTCAGCAGAGTGGGAACCACCAGTTAATAACTGCGAACCCAAATCACTCACTAAAGACAAATCTATTTCATTTGCTCCAAACAAATTCTGATCTAGAGGGGGCCCCCCCACCCCCAAATTCTTCTACTTCCTTCCTTAATCCTCTTACCCAAGGATCTTTCCAAAATCCCCTTTTCATTTTTCCCAATCTTTTTTCTGAAACTAGCCGTCTGAGTTCTTACTCCAATGCCAGATCACCTTACCCCATTTTTCCTTCCCGATATCCGGCGTTCCGCAAGTCTCAAACCCTTCAAAAGCCATCATTTCCCCCTTAATCTCCTCCTCACCTTTTCCCTCTCCTCCCAAAAAATTGCCTCAAAAATATGGAAGACAGAAACCAAAGAAAGGAAAAAACCATGTCCCTGATCCAAGCCATTCAAAATCGCCGCCCTCCATCCAGCCCTGTGAAGGTGATTATATCACCGAAACGGAACATCATCACCTCTACCAAACCGCAATTCAATGAGGCAGAGAACCTGATCAATCTTCAATCGTTTGTGGTGTAGGGAATCCTCGGCTCGTGGCATTCCCTCACACCGGGAGTTGTGAGACAGATGCTATTGGATCTGGCGAACATAGCGCCAATGCTTACCAATCTGAAAACAGGGGATCCTGTGGATCCGAGGGTGTTGGTGCCAGCACACTTGCCTTCCTTGGCGGATGTCACCCTAATGTGCGATCCTCTCAGAATTGTTCTGAAATGGTGGATAGAGAACCTGCAGAAGGTATACTCCGACATGGTGATGTCGTGGGAGCTCCAGCTCTTGGCCGACCCGGAGCCCGTTCTTTCAAAAGAGCGAAAAGCCCTTTCGATTACAAACGAATGGCTTGTGGTGCAATCCGTCGCCGGAACAAACAATGTGAAGTAGCTTCACCTCACTCGGGAGGCGACTCAGCTGCAGCTGCATTGCGGGTGGGGTCGGAAGAAAAATTCGACACTGGAAATGTCCGGTATAAAGGTCAAGAAGAATACATTAGAGAAATTCAGCCATTACTCGGGTCACTATGTCACTCTCGACAACGATGCAGCCTACGAAACGAAGAGGGAGATGACAAAATTCCCAATCATGAAGCCGAGGATGTCAATTCTACTATGGAACGCTAGGGGCATTGCTCGCCGGGGTTTCAAAAGAAATTTTCGGCAGCTTATGAAGGATCACGATCCCGAAATAGTGATTCTTGCCGAAACAAAAGTGAAGAAATCTGGGGTGGATGAGCTAATTCAAAATCTGCCGTTCAATTCATTTGAAGTAGTGGATCCGGTGGGGTTGTCCGGGGGTATTTTAATCCTCTGGAACAGCGGCGTAAACTCCATCGCAACTGTTTCCAAAGATCGCCGTGTCATCCACACGGTTGTGCAGGTGAACAATAAACCCACCTTCTTTCTTTCATCAATTTATGATAGCACATGCTTTAAGGAAAGACTAGAATTATGGGAAGACCTTCAAATTTTAGCGCCAAATATTTCCTTGCCTTGGTTAGTTTGCGGTGACTTCAATGACATTTGTTTTGCACACGGAAAATGGGGGGGGGGGTAACCCTCACCCTTTAAATCAATTGCAAGCTTACAAAGATACCATGAATAATTGTAATTTGGTGGACTTAGGATTCACTGGCCATAAGTATACTTGGTTTAATAAAAGGAAAATCTCCCCTATTTTCGAAAGATTAGACAGGTTTTGGGCCAGCCCATCATGGATCCAATCCTTTCAAGATGCGGTGGTCCAAAACCTGCCTCAGATGTCATCGGACCACAACCCCCTGCTGCTTAACCTCAAAAAACGGGTACAAATAACGGGCAAAAAACCATTTCGGTTTGAGCCGTTGTGGCTTTCTGACCCGGCATTTGAACCGTTTGCCTCGAATCAGTGGTTTGAGATCCGAGTTCCATTACCCTCGAAGTTAAGTGACCTTGCCAAATCTCTCTCTAGTTGGGCCTTTTCAAATGTGGGTTCAGTCCAGAAAAAGATTAAAAGAATTAGTGCTAGAATTGAAGGGGCCCAAAGAGCTTTTGAATCAAATCCCTGAAATGGATTCTTATTTGATTTGGAAAGATCACTAACTGAGGAGCTAGATCTCCTTCTTGAGCAAGAAGAAATGTATTGGGCTGCTAGAGCCCGAACGGATTGGATAATTAATGGTGATAGAAATACTCACTTCTTTCACCTTGCTTCTACAATCCGTAAAAAGAAAAATAAAATTGTCACTTTAAAAAATGATGTGGGCCAATGGCTCATTCAGCCCAAAGAGATTCATGACCACATTGTAGCCCATTTTGCTTCTCTTTTTAACTCTGACACTTTAATCTTGCCTCCCCTGCCTATCTCTTCTGAGATTATCCGGTGTGCTGCTGTTCCTTCCCTACCGGAGCTCCGGGAAGCGGTCTTCTCAGTGGGACCTTTAAAGGCCCCAGGAGAGGATGGTTTTCACGCCTTATTTTTCCAAAAGTTCTGGGAAGTTATTAAGGCCGATTGTCTGAATCTCATCTCAAACATATTCACCTCTAAGCATATTCCCCCTGCCTTGAATAAAACAGTTATATGTCTCATCCCAAAAATTCAAAACCCAACAAAAATTTCAAGCTTCCGACCAATTAGCCTTGTTAATTCCTGTTACAAATTTTTGTCAAAGATTTTGGTGAATTGAATTAGGCCCCACCTAAGTTCGATTGTTTCCCCGAACCAAAATAGCTTCCTCCCGGTTCGTGGAACAGAAATAAATTTCATTATTGCCTTGGAAATAATTCACTCTATGAATAAGAAAAGGAAGAGTAGGAAGGGAACCTTTGCTCTAAAAATTTATCTAGAAAAGGCATACGATAGACTCGAATGGCCTTTCATCCGCCATTGTATTCTCTATTTTAATTTTTCCCTTGATACTGTTGACCTAATTATGAGTTGTGTCTCTTCTGTCTCCTCTTCCATTCTCATCAATGGTCACCTTTCAACCTCTTTTACTGCTACTAGAGGTTTGCGTCAAGGGGATCCCTTATCCCCTTATTTATTCATAATTTGCATGGGATATCTTTCTAGAATGATCCATAAAGAGTGTGACTCTAAAAACTAGAATCTATTTCGCTTTAGAGGAGGGAAATCGGCCATATCCCATTTACTCTTTGCGGATGACGTCCTTCTATTTAGACAAACCAACAAAAAAAACTCTTCATTCCCTCATAAAAACTCTCACTGATTTTTTCAATATGTCCTGACAAAAAATGAATGATAAAAAAAGCTCCATTCTCTTCTCCAATAATACACCCCAATCCATGATTGATGAGTTTGAGCAAGAGCTCAATATCACTGCCACCTCAGATCTTGGTAGATACTTAGGATTCCCTCTATCTTCGAAAAAGCCGAGCAAAAAAAACCTCCAAATCTTAGTGGATAAAGTTGGCTCGAAACTTGCCATGTGGAAGAGTAAAACTCTTA